CTCAACATCTGTGGGTGTTCCAGAGATATATCAAGATTGCTTGAAGGCAACCCCTGCCCAAAAATAAAGTCCTGTTATAGCCTGTCAATCTGGGAATCCATCCTCCCACCACGGCTTGTTAAGTTCCTATGAAGAGTTATCAGCACCAACTGACAAGAGAATCAAGCCCCTCACTTTTATAGTTTGCAAAGCTTTTTTTTTTTTTTCCAAAATATGCCCTAAGCTTCAGGATTTCCTCATGAAAGTGAAATGTTTTGTGTAGCTGATAGGGAAAACCAAGTGGAGGTGCTGAGGGACTCCCCAAACTCTTCAGAAGGCTGCCATGAGTTGCTCCAGCTCTAATTGTGGTTTAATATGTGGGTGTAATCCTGACCAACTCATTCATCTCCAGTCCTGTTTCTCCAATCTAAAAGGGAGGATATTATACTCGTGTAATTAATGCAGTCTGTGACTGTTCAGTTAAAAAAAAAAATACTATTTAAATGACATTTACAATCCCAGCTATACTTTTCTGTTCAACTGTTTCTGTTCCTTATTGACAGTTCAGAACAAGCAAATCGAGGCTGGTTGAAATCCATCCTCTTTTAATTTCAGTACCAAAACCAAAAGTTTGGGTGTTTAATGGAACTTAGAAAATTTTAAGGCCCCTACCAAGAAAGGGCAGCAAAACTCTACCCTGAATCTTCAGTGTCCTCAGTAAATCCTGAAGAAACACTGTCAGTAATTTTAATTTAAGAGTGTCTTTGGCCACAAAACAGCTTCTAGAATTATTATTTTTTGTGAAGGGAGGGAGGAATCTCACACCAGCTAACTCTAGGTTTGCATGTGATGCATTAAATGTAAGCAGTAAGTATGGGGTTGACTCAAAATTACCCCAAGAATGAATACTGATTTCTTATCAACAAAAATGATAAATAAAACTCTAGGAAACATTTTAATAAAATCCCAGGGAAAAAAAATAATTAAAAATATGTTGTTCTTTGAAAAGGCTGCAGCCTTTTAGAATTTTCAACTTAAAATACTATATTCACTAAATTTTTCTAAACATATTTACAGTTTACCACATCTTCTTCAAGTTCAGACTTCCAGACTCTGAAATACAAACTCAATTCCATATATTTTTTATGAGGTAAAAACTCTGAAGTGCTTTAACCTTCATTAAGGTCAAATCCAGATAAAGATAGAATTCTTTATCCTGAACCTTGTGTAAAGATTGAAAATATACTGTGAAGAAGTACTTAGAATTTCTTAATTCCCTGGCTTTAGCCTGATTTTCCTCCTCAGATTCTTCCTCCTGTTCCTGGGAGTTCCTATTGAGTCTCTGAATATTAATTGGTGTTCTCAGGGACCACAGGGCTGAAATCAATGGATTGTATAGGAATCCTCTCTTTTTTGCCTGAAACTAGCTTTTAGCCCATTAAATTAAGATAAAGGCCAGCAGGAAGAGGAATGGATTTTAAAAAGCTCAGGAGGAAGCAGGCACATGAAAAAGTTAACATTTATTGCTTTATATTTATGAAATTAATGCTCAAATGTGGAAACATTGTGGCAGGAGGCACACCCTTTAAAGCAGCAAGTGTTTATACAAACAAAAGCAGAAAAACCTAATGTCCCCCTGGTTTAGGTTTTGTAATAACTCAAGAATTGGATGAACTGGGAAAAGAATGAGTCTGCAATAGCTTATTTTGGTAAAACCTTTATTTAGAAGAGGTCTGAGCCAGCCACAGAGGAGCTGTGAGAGACTACAGGTAACAGGTCACCACTGAGAGGGTTTTTGCATCAGTTTGCAAACAATCCAAGCCTGAGTTTGCAGTTTCTTCTGCCCTCACAACATGGTTGAAGCAAGGCACCAGCTCTGTGTAACAGGGTCAGAAACAGGGCTCAGTAATCTCTGGGGATTTTAATGTACAGGCAGAACAAGAAATCCAGAGATTCAAACAATTCAGTCTCCTTTTCCGTGAGCTTTGACTCCTCCGGGTGTAGGTAGGATCATAGCTTGTATGTCTAGAAACAAAAGAGGAGGAGGTTGGATAAAAGGGTAAGACAGGTTAATTAACACTGCATAGCTATGAACAAACAGCAGCTGGTAAAAATGCTCTAAAGCAGCTGGATCCACAGCTAGGTGCTAAAATAGATGTCCTATCTCACACATGTTTTGGAAGGCATTAAAACATGAACACATATAATTATATTCACCCTCCAAAAACTCGGAGATCTGCGTCCTCTGTGTCTCTAGCTGGGGTCATGAATCCTGGTTAAGAGAAAACACATCTAAAACATCAAAGAGCTATTTTGGCTGGTGACTTCTCAACATCTGTGGGTGTTCCAGAGATATATCAAGATTGCTTGAAGGCAACCCCTGCCCAAAAATAAACCCAAACAAAAGAAAACCTATTAGTTTTTGGGTTATCAGCTGAGAAACCAGACTCCTTTTCCTACAGTGAAAAAGTCACCTAGAATTAAAGACTTGCAGATGCTAAAGTGAAACCACTGATATGGCCTTATCATACCTTAAGTAGGTTGCATTTAATGGAGATCATATCTGCCACTCTTCTTGACACAAAGTCAAAATCCTACGACCTGGAAAGCTTTTACTGTAGCATTCAAATGTGAATACAGGAAGGAAAATCAGCTGGGACATGAGCTGCTTTTCCCAATATTCTATGAATAAACCACAGTTTTCAGTACAATTGCCGCATAGCACACCCTCTTCCTGCTTTTAAATTGTCATTTGAAGCCAAAAATGAGTGTAAATTTTGGTGTTTAAACATGGTGTAACCATTCACATATTAACAAGCTGGGGGGGCAGTTAATGTTCTGCCCAAGGTCTACTTTACTACATTCTTAGAAAGAAAAAGCATAAAATCTGAAAATTCATCAGGTGATAGTTGTCTGGATGGGGAAATGCTTCTGCTCTTGTACTGGACACATGAGTGCACAGTGCCCTGAGCACACAGCTGAGCTGCTCTGCCCAGCAGCTCCCACGATTCGTGGGGTGCTCCACTTCAAGTGCTCCCTCAAGTACCTTGCAAGGAGAAAACGCTCTACCTTTGGTCAGTCCTCACCTCTCCTGTCTGCCTTTTGTCTCTTCAACTGTGTGGTAGAAGGGTGGTGCAGGCTGTTTTGGCATCAGGAGCTGAACTCAGGTCTTGTCAAATTTCAAGTTGTCATCTCTTAGCTCTTCACCTTTAAAATATCAAAGTATAGGATGTCTGATTCACCTACAGACAGAAATTCCCCGCAATGACCTGACAATCTGCTTCAAGGGAAGTCACAGAACAGGATTGATACGCATCATCATATGGTGAAATTCGGGATTTCATTAACCAGATGCTGTTATTTTCTTTAATATCTCATGAATAGAAACTACGGTGTAAAAACAACTCAAAACAATCGCTCACTGGGAAATCTGACATATGGCCTGCTAAGCTGCTCTCCTAGAAATAGCTAAAGATCATTACTCCTGGCATCACTCCCTACAACAGGCACTGGGCTCGTTAAAACACACAGGGCGTGATTGAACCCATAAGGAAGATTATTTCTACAGATGGGTAGAAACAATGAGCAAAACTACAAAGGCTGAGTTGAAATAAGTAGTCAAGGAGACTTCTCCACCTCCATAACTTCTGGTTGCTGAAACGAATCAAAGCAGCACCATTTTGCTGGAAATAAAAGGACACATCTTCTCCTCTCTCTCCATGGTGTACATTTCCCTCCTGCTGATGTAGGGTATTTCATTCTCCCGGGCAGGAGCATCCTGATGTGAACAGAGTTTGTATCCAGCAGGGGCCACTTGCTGCCTGTGTTTATTCCCCACTCAAATCAGGTGGAGTTGTTGATGCTGTCCCGGGCTGAGCATTGGGATAGCCACAAGCCCGCCGTGACGCAATGCTGCTGCAATCCTCGCTGCCCTGGGGATCCTCCACCAGGAAACGTCAACCAAACCTCTGGGACGTGGCATCGCAGGGCAGGAAATGTTAAAGACAATTAGGATGTGGCAATGATAATCCCGTGCAGCGATCACGCAATCACCTTTAGCAAATGTTTGCATTTGACAGCAGCTCCGCCGTGATTACGTTCTTGCAACACATCCCCTCTACGCTGCTGCCTTGTCTAAATTTAGACTAGAACGCGGTGCCGTAGATGGCTGTACCGCATTCCACCGCTGGCCGGTGCTGAGGCCTAGAGCTGACCCCAAAGGTGGCCAGGCCATGGCACCGCTTCCCTGAGGCACGGCTCCTTGAGGCACCGGCTCCCTGAGGCACGGCTCCTTGAGGCACCGGCTCCCCGAGGCNGCGGGCTCGGGCGGCTCTCGCAGAGGGCACCGTGCCCCTTCCCCGGCCGCGGGAGCGGCCCTGCCCGAGCGGGGTCTCCGGCAGCGGGGAGGCCCCGCGTGCGATCCGGAGGGATGGCGGTGCTCGGGAATTCCCTGTGGCTGTGGCACGGCGGCAGGTGCCGGCCCCGGAGCATCCCGGGCACCTGCCGGGGCTCTTTCCTGGGGATCCCCTGGTCCCGAGCGGCTCTGCCCTGCCGGACACCTGTGTGCGCCTTGCCTTGGCCGGGGAGGGAAGGGCTTCCCTCGGCTCTGAACGAAACACACCGGGAGCACCGGGGCGGCTGCCCGAGGTCGGGATTTTGCGCTCGGGGAGGCGAGGGAATCACTTGGCGTTTTTAATTGCTGAGGTTTCTGTTACTCCGGTGCCTCGGTTATAACACTTTTGGGAAGGTTTTCGTACTTGAAAAACAACGGTGAAGGAACAAGTGGGTGTGTTTCCTTGCCTTGGAAGCAAATATGCCTACTGGAATTTTAAAGTATTTCCGTAGTATGGGAGGTAGAAAGGGTCAGCTGCAGAGCGTGATCTAATCTCTTTTCAAAATTCGGTCTTTAAGTAGAATTTTATTTTTAATTCTGGAGCTTCAACATTCCAAATACTACAGTTCTTTTTTTTAACATTCTCGTTTTAAAAGTACCTGTTCTATCTTTTTTTTTAATTATTATTATTTTTAATAAAAGGGCTTTTTAAAACGTGAGTGACTGACAATACACAGCTAAGCGTGTAAGGGAGAAAAGAGTGTTTGTTCCAATGAAGTATTAATTCCAGGTAACTGTCTCTGTAAACGGTCTTGCAGAAGGCTGAGGTTAAACTCTGCCCTCTTCAGAATGTATGTTTTGTATCCTCCAGGAATATGCAAATGTAAATAGCTTTTTAAAGCCTCAGGAACTACAGACCTCTCTGGTTACTGTAAACCACAGCTGCTTATTAAGGAGAAAGGCTTTATTCCTCTTGACTCCTGTGGGTTTGTGCTTCTCGTGACCATTCGTGGGTTTTTATCCCTGCTTGTAGAAATTGAGTGTGTAGAATAATCTGCAGCCACAGCATTTCATGGGGGTTTTATGCTGGTTTATCCCATATTCTCTTCCACGCTGTGCATTTCCAGCTGTGGTGAGTGGGGCTGCGAGGGATCAAGCTCTGTAAAAGAAGTTCCTTGGGAGAGTAGACAGGAGAAGGGAAGGTGAAGAAGGTGAGGAAAGCTGCTTTGGGAGCTGGGATTCCACAAAGCCAGAGCTGGAACTGGGGCCTGCTGCCACATCCCTGTCACCATGAGCTCCTGAGAGCCCTGCCCTGTTTGGGGACCCTCACTAGGGATGGAGTGGGAAAATTGGTGATGTTTGTAGGGGGGCTTTAAAGGAGATTTGTTGTTCTCCTTCAAATACCTGCTCTCAAGGATTCTCCTGGACAGCCAGGGGTAAGAACAGAGAGCATTCACTGGATTTATTTGGTGGAGCTTAGAGTTGCCCACAGTTCTTTGATGCTGGAAAGACTGATGGCAAAACTGAGACCTGTGAGAGCTGCAGGTGAGGAAGGCAGGTTTTCCAAGGGAATGGCTATCAAGGATGCAGGAAATAGCAGGAGACATGCAGACTATTTAGTTTACATCAGTACAGAAGTGCTGTTTGCATGCTCAAATACAATATTTTAAGATGTTTTCAGCATGGAGCCCATTGCCTTTGTTATACTTTGACAGGAGCTACAGGAAAACCTGAAGGAATACATTAAGTGAAACAAAGTGAATTTGGTGCATCCAATAGTGACTTTCAGTTCTGTAATCTGCATGCTTTTCATTCTTAACCTTTACCATCAGTTTTGGCCATAATTCTGTTTCTGAATAAGGGCAGAAAAGTAGTAGAAGGCAGCTGCCTGTATCCCCAAGTGTTAGGGAGTTCTCTGAAGTTAGTTGTCTTCAATAAAAGCTGTATAAAGACATATCATATGCAAATGATTGCAAAGAGAAGCCCAAAATAAATACTTATTTTTAATCTTCTGTAGCTTTTTGGTTCTCACAAAGTTTACAGAATGCAATATTTAAGCTTTATCTATTTACTTTGATACATTAAACATGTTTTGAAACTTTAATTTTTGGCTGTCATCATATTTTGAGAGCTTCAGCCTGAAATAATTGATTTTGATAAATGCAGTAGCTGACTGGATGATGCTGACTGGAACTCAGCTACCAACTTTTGAAATTTGGTTATTGAAAGTTCTGCTTGATCAACCCACAGAAATTACTGTCTGTGTTCTGGAAGTGCTCGAAGATGCAAGTGAGGTGGTTGATGGCATTTTCAATCTGGTGCAAGAGCTTTCAGTGTCTCTAAGAGCTGCTGTGGACAGATTTTTGGGCAGTAGATTGCTGATGGATGAAGCAAAGCAAGGGAGTGTTCTGCCTGTGAGGTGGATGTAAATATCTTATATGGATGTGGAGGTCTTGCATTGCACTAGGAAATATGTTCCAGCTTTACTCAGATCAAATCCAGGCTGATGCTCAGGTGTTATGTAGTTGAAACTCAAGACATTGGAGCAGAAAAATGAAGCACTTAAAAAATCAGAAGGCTTTTCTCTCTAAGAGTTGGTGTATTGAGTTATTTAGAAAACCTGTTTAAGTTTTGAGGAATTTTTTTTGGTGTGTGTGTGAGGAAGAAATCTCAGTTGTGACCGTCCAGTTGGTTTTACTTGTATTTAATGACTCTGAACATGGTCAGACAACCTGTGACATCTATTAAATTGAATGGGGTGGATATTGAGGTAACTCACTGCCATTAACTGCATACTGCACCTGCCTTTTTTACCTCAGTTGGTTGGAAAAATGCAGTAAGGCTACTTATCCAAGGCCCAGACTTCATCTCCTTGGAAACCTGATCTTTCACCAGATGTTGAGAAATGTAATTTCTTTTTTAATCCATTCTGCAGAAGCACGCAGATCAAAACAGCATCTTCAGGCGTTGTTAGTCTGGAATATTCATTACCTAAAAAAATAATCTGACATTTCAGTCTTTGCCCCAAAGAAGATTGATAGCTTGTGTTGTGTTTGGTATTATTTCAAATTTATTTTAGCTGATGCTCAAGCTCCTGGTTGATAGTTTAATTCGATTCAAGAACTGGCTGATAATGGGTTCTTCATGGGTAAAGTGCAGGATTGTTTGAGGAGCCATCCCTGCAAGGATTTGTCTTTCTTCTCTTTCTGTTCAGGTCAGCTTTCTCCTGTGCAGCTGCAAAAAGCTATTTCTTAGGCAGCACATGGAGAATTTGTAACCTTTTCAGTCTGCTGCCATTTGAGAAGCTGTTACTCAACGTCTGCTGTGTCAGATGCGCTTCTGGGTCAGCTGCTGATGTCAGAGCCGCTTGTGACCCTGTGCTGGGGCTGTGCTGGAGTTCACTGGGTTGGCCTGGTGCAGGAATGGTGCCAGCAGGGCTGCTCAGAGCAGGAGATCTCCTTGGCAGCAGCTGGGAGGGGAGAACTAACAAGCCACGTTTCTTGGGGCCCAAGGTGTTGATGTTCTCTACTGGCTCAAGGGGCCCATTCATGAGTCCAAGCAGCTGAGGCAGGTGGTTGTAGTTTTTGGGGTGGTTTTGGCTGGGTTTCCCTTGCAGGTGTTGGTGGGCTCTGTTTTCCACAGGTCCAAGGCAGTTTAGAGCCCTGGGAAGGGCAGCAGACACATGGCTAAATCCTGAACTGGATGGGATGGAAATCTACCTTGCAGCTGCCGTAGCACTGGGAAGGATGTTTGGTGATTCCTAGGCAGCATCTTTGGGCACCACATCTCTGAAATCACCTTCCTAGGATGGCATTTTATGGTAATTCTTCAGTGCTTGTTCAGTTGCAGCCTTGTGTTTTAATTCCTTTCTACATCAGCTAAAAAATAAGCAAATGGAATCCATGTGTTTTAAAGATTGGATGTATTCTTGCTACAGGACTACTCAGAAAATCTAAGTTTTTATTATCCATTTGGGATTGATGCAGGTTATGAAAGGTGAATGAAGTAAGACTGTCAGAGGACTCAGAAATTACTATTACTATTCTTGATCTCAAGTTCTTTTTATCATGGAGACTTCCTTAAGGTGCCTTTGCCTTTTATAATTTGCCTGACCAAAATGGACAAAATCAAAAAGACTGGTAGAAAACGCTAAATAATGCTGTACTGCAGAATATTTATCAGGTGAAGTGAGAAGAAAAAGTTGCTTCCTGAAAAAACAGGAGAAAATAAAGCTAATAAACTTTTATTTTAACTTTTCTTTTTTTTTTTTTTGTAAGAATGTTTTTTTTTCTGTCTTTAAGGCTGTTATTTTTTAGTTTCCTTGAACTGGTTTGGTTGGGTTCTATTTTCCTTTAACTTGTTATGAATGGATTTCTTTGTTGTCTGTGGATTTTTCTTGGAGCATTACGAAATTTAGGACTTCTGTTCCAGTTTGAAGAAAAATGATCTATTAAAATATCAAAACTTTCATTTTTCATGTTGTGCATATGCACTGTAGTCATTGAGAGTGGCAGCAAGTTGGCTTTGGTTTGAGTTCTACTGATATTTTTATCTTTCACTCAAGGACCTCTGATAAATGTATTTTAAATCTTGAGTTTTGAGCTTTCTGCTGCACTTCTCCTACTGCCTTATTAGTTTTTCTATAACCTTGGCAAATAATAGTTATTTTGCCTATAGACTTGAATGGTCTGGTCATTTTTCAGGGGTAGAATGTGTGGTCTAGAATAGATTGCAAAAAAAAATAAATCAGTTATTCATTTTGGAGATTTATTTTTTAACCTTGTTTTGACCACGTTGGGGTTTCCAGTTTGAAGTTAGAATTGTTGACTAAGAAACAGAGGAGGCCCATTTATTCCTCTGTTCCCTTTCCCAGTGTGCTTTGTTGCCAAGGCATTTCATGTCATCTTGGCATTTGCAAATTGCTTTGTTATTGGTGAAATTAATTCATAATGAGTTAGTGGAAAAAAGTCAGTATCAACATTGTGCTGTCACCGTGCTTAAGAATATTTTTGTGTTATAGTCAGGGTATGGCCCAAATTCATAAATACAGAAATTTACATGTTTGTGATCTTAGAAGCCTCTGATACCTGCAACCGATTGTTTTCCTTATCAATCTGATAAAGAATATAAGACAAATTTTCTGCCCTAGGGTAACATTTTACTGTGATTTTAATCTATACCAAATTTACTATGGCTTGGAAGTTTCTATTACAAATAGTGTTGTTTTCTTCCTATTTTTATAGAGTTGGGTTTTTTTTATTTTAAAATACATTTTCACTGCAATGACCAAACCAGCCTCTGAATATTGTAGTTTATTTTTGAAACCTATCGAGTCAGATTCAGTGACTTCTTAGAGGGACTTGTCACATATAAAACATTAGAATTGCTGGAAGTGTGCTGTAATTAAAGAACAATCTGTTCAAAATATTGTCAAATGCTTTCTATGCAGTTTGGGTCCAAATTCCAGAAGTACTAAAAGTTATTTGTATTTTAGAAATACAAGGCCAGCAGTTGGATATTGCTATTTTAAGCAGAAAGACAGATATAAGAGTTGCTGCTAGTTTGGGTTCATGTTGGGATTTTCTGTTTCACTGCTGTTAGGAGTTTTAGGATGTTTATGTAAATATGTTTTTTCTCCATCTGAGACATATGCAGCTTGGTCAGTTTGTCTGGCCAGGAGACAGTCTGAAGAAAGATGGGTATTTCCCTATTACAGCATTTAAAAATCTAGTTCAGTCTGTTTAAGATATCCCAGCTGGCAAAAATGAGATCTCAATTACTGTACTTGGCATCATTTGTTGAATGAGGTAATTCCTGTCCTCATTTATCTGACTTGACCATGAGACTCTTCCATAGCAAATGCCTGCTTTATTTTCCTGTGTTCTTTTATATTTCCTTTATTTTCCATTTATTTTCCTGGAGTGGCTCTTTATTTGTCTTACTCTAATGCTTTTGTCATTATCAAGAATAAGATGATGAGGAGGGAAACAGCAGAGGAGAAGATCACTGCAGTCAGCTATTGGAGAAACTTTCTCCATTCCCATTCCTGGTGGAGATTATCAACTCACCATTGTAGAGCAAATTTTAACAACTGGATACGGCTGATGCAACTTTTCTGACTGTCCTTTCTGTGTGAGTTACCCCGAGTAGCATTCATCCATTGGTCCTTTCCTTCCTTCCTCCCAAGAATTCTGGTCTGACTGATGGATTTTTGCAGGTTTTCCAGGAGCGTGTGGGAAATAGGCCACGGTTCAGGCCAGGCTCATCAGGGCTCTGGTACCTTGATGGGACAAAATGCTGGTTTTGGTGCCCAGCAGTTAGGTTTGTGAGTCCTTGGCCTCTGTGGACAGCTGGATGAGTTTGGACAGCAGTTTTGGTGACCATTTGAGCTGCCATGGGCAGTGTCGGCTCCATCAGTGCTCCAGCCCATTCCTGGCTGAGGGTTCCCATCCGTGTTCCCCGTCCCTCTGTCCGGGCAAGGAGCCAGGTCTGGGCAGTCTGCTGGGGCTCAGGGCTGGGTGCTTCCCCCTGAAGAGGGATTTGAGGTTGCTGATGCCATGCAGCTTGGCCTTCGTAAACATTTCTGCTTCCGTGGGTTAGGAAGCGGCTCCCAAAGTGAGTATTCCTGAAGGAGAGGTGGGAGAGGCAGGAGGTGTGAAGAGTGCTGTTTTAAATGTGTTACACTGCAACCTTCATGTGCAAGAAGAGGCTTTGTGACAGAATATTTTTGGATTAAGCTGTGGTGGGTCATTTCTTTCATAAATCTACATAAAAAATTGATGACAAAGTCTGGCTTTGGCACTGAAACCCAGCAGCCAAGAAAATAAACAACTTTTTGCTTTCATCTCTGGAGCTGTACAGGGGAGCTTTTTGGTATTTATTATGCCATTTAAAAAAACTTCTTTTTTATAATAAGGATGAGTAACTCAGGCAGATCTCTGACTCTTTTCCCTCTCACCTCAGTGGTCTGTGTGCCCCTGGGTTTCCAGATGAGCAAATACAGAAGTGTTTCACATGCTCCAATCTCTCAGGAGCTCATTCACCACCGTCACCTGACTTTGCCAGAGCTGAGCACTTCAGTGTCCAAGTTGTTGTCAAACTGATAATTTATGTAAAATTGGCAGAGGCCCAGCAATGTCTCCAGTTAAACTTGCCAGGAAGTCTGGAGGAAGTGGAATATAGGAAAGAGACTGAGGGGGGGAAGCTTTTTCCATGACAATACATGGTTTAAACTCCATCAATTGTTCACACCTCTGCTGCCTTTGAGGGGAGGGGCCTGTCTGTTTGAATACAAAATGAGAAGAATATTGAATTGCTGTTTAAGAACGAGTTTTAAACTTGGCATAGATCTCATCTTGCTGCCAGTTGGTTTAAATATTCTGTTTTCAAGAAGCAAAGCTTTCTAAAATCTACCCAGGATTCCATTTAGAGAAATATTGGCACCATAGTTTGTTCTTCATGTTCTTATCAAATAGCTGTTGAGGAGAATTGTTCTTGTGTTCAGTGGCATGAAAAACTTTCTGAGACTCTAATGTGCCCTTATTAAAGAGATTCACTAAAAATTTTGAACTTTATTTGCAATATAAATGGAATGTAAAGACAAAGCTTAACTCAGCAGATAACAGGACAATCCATGCCTTCTACTTAAAGTGGATTGGCTTGTTTTTTTCCTGGAGCATATGAACACTAATAAAGACCAAATAGTTACACAGCTTAGAAAGAAGCAGAACAAAAAAAAAAAATAAAATAATAATAATAATAATCAAAATCTTCCATGTAACAAAGAAGTGAGTGAAAAGTGCCCTATTGGTATCTCATTAGAGACCCAGGTAATGTTGTAGCATATTGATGATAATTTATTCAACATTTTAAGATTTTTAAAGTTCTTTTAAGTGTTTAAATTGGTGTTGCAGTGTTCTTGCTGCTTTTTAGACAAAACGAGCGTGCCTTTTAGAACAGGATTTGCTCAGGCAAGTGCTTAAGCCTGGATTCATTTGTGGTGTGCTGTAACACTTGTGTAATCTACTTTCTTTGGCACACATTTCAGATGCAGACTTCTTATTTTTTAAAACAAATATTTGGTCATTCATCCGACTTGTCCCCTAGTTTTAGGTTATTTCTGTGGTTCTCTGATTTCCTGTAGCCACTAACCCTGGAATGATGGTGTCCCTTGACAAACCTGGAAAAGTACTGGTTTCTGTTATTTGTCAAGGAAACCTATTTTTTCTGCTGGATTTTGTTTGGTGACTTTGGAAAACCTGGTAGCTGATGTCTTTATTTACAGACTCAGACACCCAAAAATTCCCCTTTGGACTCGCCTGTGTCTTTGTGTCCTTCCGTGTCGGTGCTGGGAGCGCGCCTGTGCCGGTGACGATGTTTTGGAGCCATGGTGTGCTGGCAACCAGCTCACAGAATAACACTGGGGCAGCTTCTCGGGTTTGCCTGGAGGAGTGGCAGCCAAGTGCATTTCAAAGACTTTCAGGAAGGAGGAAGAGAAACTTCCCTGCCCTTCCAGCACCTGGAAGAATCTTGATGCGCTAGCTTAGAGGGGAAACATTAGGGACAAGTACAGCTGACTTTGGTTGCCCTTTCTAGCAAACCTCATTGCATGTTGCAGTGAAAGGTTGGTTTTTCACCTCCAAATACGAGCCAGCATATCCTCTGTAACTCCTCCCTGTGACGGAATTTGGCCCAGTCTTTGTTTGGCAGCAGTGGGTGAGTTTCTCTTCAATCATTCCTCACGGTGTAGCTCTGTATTTTCCACACATCCTTCCAGAAGTGTACTCATCCCAATCATTTCCACATGTGAGCTTTTCCTTGTTTTCCACCCTTCAAAGGGCTGGTCACTTCGTTCCTGGTGGCTCCTTGTGTTGTTGTGCTCTGCTTTTATCTTTGAATTTGCACGTTCCCCCTGCTCAGGCTGCGGGCATCGGTCATCTCAGTGCAGTTAGAGCTGATGGCTCCATGTGCCATCCCAACCCTGAGCCATGGTTTTTAAACCTAAAAACCATGTTAGGGGTTAGGTTTAAGATGAAAACATTCATCCAGGTTCTTTCTTCACTGTGCTGCTGTGGATGGGAGACAGATTTCACTTGGGTGTTGATGAAACAGCCTAGAAAAGGGGCAAGTTTATCCAAAGCAGCAGCTCACAAACAAAACAAAGACATTTCAGAGTGTTTGTTGTGTGCTTGTATTACCCTGGAGGCTTTGTGGGGTTACCTGTGCTGTGATCTGCCTTTGGGATGCTCCCACGTTCTGGTGTGTGTGTGCAAGGGATGTTAAATGGACACTCACTGGTGAGCTCATCATCTCTCCACTGTACAGCTGGTATCTGTTTGACTTCTGAATCACCTCACTGGCATCTACTCAGACTTGTAGCTTTTTAAAAAAGTTACTTCTCTACAGGGTTAGTTTTAATCTGTTTTGGATCTCTGAACAGTTCACTGTGGGGTTAGGTGAGTAGCAGTGCTGTATGGGAGTACCCAGCTGAATGCTGAAGCCAGGAGGTCAAAAGCTCTTGCAGTTAGAAAGGGTTAAAAGGTTAGAGTTTCAGCTTCTGAGCTAATGAAACGTGTGAATTGTGTCACCTGAATCTCCCCAAGTGTGTGCTGCACTGTAAAAATCCACCTAGCCCTGCATTAAATAAACTCTGGAGCTGATTCATAGTTACTGTGTGTGAGCTGAGCAGGGATTAGTCAGTAGCATTAATTCTGGCAATTTCCACTTGGCTTGCTTGAGAAATACATGTGCCCTTTCTATCTGGCAGCCAGGTCCTGTTTCTGTATGTCACATTTCCAAGAGGAAGTGACTGAGGGTGGAAGGACTTTATTGACTGGCAGTTCCCAGGGCAGCGCTGGAGAGGTGCACAAAAGTTTCTGTGCCTTGGTAAACAAGGATATCAAGCTGGACTCAAAGGTAGGTTGATCAATGTAGGATGTTAATTATGTCATAACTTTAATGCTTTTCCAGATTTGATAAAGCGTGAGTAGGAAACTGACAGGAGTTCAAGTTTTCAAAACCGAAAACAGTTCATGATCTGTTTGGTGAATGTGAATTTAGAGTCTCAGATGAAGGGAGCACAACTGAACTTACTTAAAGGAGGAAAAAGCAATTCACTGGATTCATCCTGCAGTCAATGAGTTGATAACGTTATCTGGAAGGAGAAAATGAAATGAGGGTTAGTAGCAGATAGGTGCCTTGGTGAAATTCAGGCTGGAAAAGCTGGAGGTTAGGAACAAGAAGTAAGTTTTGGAACAGAAAAGGTGAGAGGCGGGTAAGGGATTCTTACAACACATCAGTTCTTCCAGGATATCTTTGCAAAGTAAACTTTGACCTGAATTGCTGCCTATCAGTGTGTCCTATAAAAGGGTAGATGAGGTCGCCTCCTGTGCAGCAGAGGAGAGCAGAACACGATTGTACAAGGGAACAGATATGAATGAATCTGGTATCAGAGTTGAGATAAAACCTGTCTGCTTATCTGTACTCTCTGTTTGAGTAGAAGGGAGTGCAAGGACATAGAGCTTTTACCAGGCTGAGAAGGACAGAGAGAAGGGGACTACAGAGACTCTTGCAACAAAACAAGTCAAAAGGTTAAAATTACTACAGGAGGTTTTCATGTTGTTATGCTTTAAAGCATTCATAGAATGTGATGCCTATGAGTTCTGTTCAGCAAAAGTAAAATGCAAAGCAAATATCACTTTTGGTCGGTAATCTTAATATTTCAATGGATCAAAATATAGCACTTCTTTATTTTGGAATAAGAATGTCAAGTTTTAAGACCAGTGATTTGCTATAAGGTGAAAATTTTGAGCACTGATACTGGAGGGAGACAAAAGTGGGAGAGAAACCTGAGGAGCTGATATTCATATTTAGGAATTTACTATGATTTAACATGAGGATAGTGAAAATGCCTTTATATTTGTCAGTTACTCAGGGTAGGTATTTTGTGTTTAGTCAGTTACTTCAGAATTTTGAGAATGTTAATTTAAGCTTGTACCTTTAGGAACAACAAATAAATTCAATGCATGTTGTGGAAGAGGAGACAGAACCTTTGAAGAGAGCTGAAGGGACTTTAACAGATAAAAAAGCATTTCAGTTGAGCACCAGATGAGTGACTGAAGAAAACACACATACAAGCAGAGTATGTATTTCTCTGTTAAAGTCAGGGTACAGTAGTGCATGAGATTGAAGTGAGCATTTCAGAAAAGTAGGACTCTTAAAAAAAAAAAAAAAAAAGCCAGAACTCTTTGTATCTATTGTTCAGTACATGATCCTCTGAAATATGTGATGCTTTTCTGTTCTAAGCATGTTTGTCTGGTTGGGTTTTACCCCATGAGTAATCAAAGGTCAAAGGTTTGGCTTGATGATCTTGGAGGTCTTTTCCAACCTTAATGATTCTTTGATCAGTAAGTTTGCCTGCTTTAGTGGGCCCTTTAGCCTCTTTTCAAAAAGGATTTGAGAGCTGTATTTAATGATGGGGAAGATGTGGTGGTGCAGGAGAGGTTTGAGGTGAGTGGGGCAGTGTTCACGGACTGAAGAGCTTGGCAAGGTGAGGCTTGGCCCTGCCACTCTGGTGTTTGCTTTGGCTGCTTTGTGCCTGCTGACTTTCCTGTGGCTCCTTGCTCTGGGTGCTGCAGGGGAGTTGAACTGTTTAAACTGGGTTTGAAATTCCGCTTACGAAAGCAGACAAACCTGGCTTCCTGTACTAGGTTGGTTTTTTTCTGATAAGCTAAGCTTATACAAGCTGCTTTGCTAAATTCATAATGTCTAATGATTCAGTTCAAATGTTCCACCTGGTGCTGAGTGGGTGATAATTGCAGGTGAGTTAACTTAAAACAGAGTTGACCTGGAAGGGTTTTTTGAGGATGTTGTATATTTCACACTTTCCCTATGAGTATTCCATATATATCATACTTGGAAATAGAAGTTTCTCTGAATACTTAATGGAGGTCATGTTATTTTTCTGATAACAACTGGAAGACCATTGTGTGCCATCAGGAAGAGCCAGCTGCTGTCCCCAGAGTCTCCAGCAGGGCTGGGAGTTGCTCCTGATGAAGAGTAGGATGAGAGCCCAGAATTACCTTCAGCTCAGGGACTTCACCCTCAGCAGAATCCCTTTCCATGAGCTGCTCCAGCCTCTCTGTGCAAAGCACATGAGCTTCCCGGCCTCCTGCTACCTGGCAGAGAGTTTCCACAAAACTGTGTTGTTTTGAGCCTTTCAGCCAAGCTTTGCTTGATGTCCCCATGACATTTGATGAGTTTGTAGATCTTGGTCCTGGCCAGTTTTCTAAGCTGAAGAAGGCCAGTGTTTTCATTGTTCCTCAAGCAGAACTCATTGCCTCTATTGTTCTACTGAGTGAAAGTAGAAGGTTTTCCATTTTCTAATAAAATTTAACTGCTGTGGATCTGTTGGATGATATCCAAGCCATCCTCTGTTCAGGAGCTGTAAATAATTATGAGCATTTGTAAGTGGTAACTAAGGGACTGCATTATTAATATTTGGCACAAGTCTGCTACTTGCAGAAATAAAATCATCTAAACCTACTTAAGCTTTTTTGAGGTTGAATGTGAACTGTCTAGTGATCCTTCCTGGGTCCAGTGGGATCAGACTGCGTAGGTCATGGGATGTTCTCTTTTGGAATTAAAACACCAGGTTGGAAAAACTTCTGGTTACAACTGTTAGATGTCCCTTTGCTCTGTGGTGCATCCCTTCTTGATTAGGAGGGGAAGGAGGTTGTTGTGTGGATGGATAAAGACAAGAAATCGTGGAAAAAAAAAAGTCAAGCATGCAACCTTCTGTTTTCTGAAGAGTTCCTTTTTGGGGTGGGTGGCTGTGATTTGTTGCGTTGGGTTTTTTTCTGAACAGGTTTTTTTCCTCTGTTGCCCGTGTTTGGTCTTGGCAGGATTTTTTATCTCTCGGGTTTTTTTTGTATGTGTGTGTCTATTACACGCTGTTCTTCCCTGCTTGCATTTCCATTATTTTTAATTTTGTAATGGTTGAGATGTCTGCATAGCAATAAGGATCCCATTAAATGAACTGCTGGTGTTCCCTTATAAAGGCTGTCATGATTTGGGAACGCGAGTCTTTGTTCCAAATACAGCAGCGATTTTAAAACTTCAGTTTCAGTTGTAATGTAAAAGTATGCATTCAGACTTGACTTGATTTAAATTAGAAATCACAGATTTAAAAGCCTGTCTAGAAAATGCAAGTCTGAGGCTTGTATCCAGCTGTATCTCTGGCTGCTGAATGTCACAGGTTTGGAAATTTGGTGGTTCTCAACATCAGCCTGAATGTTCAGAGGCACAAAAAAAGGAATATGTTGTATCAGCCATTTCTCTAAAGGGCTGTCCTATTGCTGTAGGCATTTCTCAAGAAAATAAAGCTTCTACTCCCACGGCAGCAGTGACTGCAGAGTGGATGGAAATACTCCTGTACCGTGTCTGTATATTCATAGCTCGTCATTCACAAAAGAGCAGAGAAAATGTCACAGTGCAGATGTGGATCAGCAAAAAGGTTTCAGCACACCTTGTTTTGCTCAAACCAAGGAGGGATTTGTGTGTTGAAAACAAGTCCTGTGGGAGTGCTGAAAATATCTGGGAAGTGCAGAAAGGCTGTAACAGGGATGGATATTTAAGCTGCTTACTGTAGTTGGGACATTTCTTCCCTTCCCCTTTTCTGCCACATCTCCTCCCCCTGCTCTGAGCTGTTTCTGGGTATCATCTGACCTTTGAGCGAGGCAGCTGAGATTTCTGAACCCCCAGAAGACTCTGCTTTCTCTGGAGTTATTGTTCAGCCTGATGAATTCAGTACACTCTACAGGCAGGCTCTGGGGACTTTAGAAAAGTCTCTGCTGGAGTACTGGAAGTGAGATCTGGGGGAAGAGTGGCAAGAGAATAAAAAAGGGAAGTAAAGCCATCCCTTTGGCACTAAGGTGGTTTATCAGCTGTTCTGTGAAACTGCTGTGAGGTTTTCAGCAGTGTCTCATGCTTATCCTGAGCTAGACAAACACAACATTCTCCAAGCCATATTCTGATGGTTTTTCCCTAAACTATCACTGCTCTGCTCCATCAAGTCTTGCTCTGAATGCTGTGATTACAAAGCCTCAGAAGCAAATCTGTTCAAAATGCTGGCTTTGGTGAGGTTCACACTGTAGGGCGTTGGGGGCTCACCTTGAACCTGGGTCACATTGCACAGAAATTCCAGTTTGTCCAAGAAGGAGAGAAGGAAACAGGAAACATAGCTAGTGCTGCAGTAGAAGCCAAGAGCATGTGGTGCAGTGAGACATCTGACTTTAGTGTCCTGCTGAAGGGCTCCTTTGGGCTGTCACTGTGGTTTCGGTGTCCTGCCATCCCTTGCCTTGTTCCCTCGCAGTCCTGAGCACTGCTTTGGCTGGACAGGGAGTTGTCAGCTACAGCAATTGTGCTCCTAATGTGCTGTGTCAATATTAGTGCTGGCCTGGGGGGCCCTGGGAGCTTGCCCTACTTCTCTGTGTGTTCTCTGTGGCTGCGCTTCCAAGTGCCTCGTGTGGCTCTCTCCAAAGGGATAATGCCCCAGGGTGAGCTCCCATGGCTTGGAAAGGCAGCTCTCCTCAGCCTGAGCAGCAAATCCCTCCTTTCAAAACCTGCCTTCCAGGTCCTGGTGGTGGTGTTACCTCCACTGACCGAGACTGCCAGTGACCCGTGTCTCTTCTTGCCGTGCGTTTCTTTACGTGTTTGCCATGAAACAGTTCAGAGTCAGGGTTTGATTTGGATTTAACTGGCAAATAGTGTGACTTCAGGAGAGGAAGCTGCTGAGCTCATTTCTGTCAGTGTTTATTGGTGCTCCACCAACAGAGGGACTCCAGGTGCACACGGGGGTAGCTGCAGCTATTTACAGGTGCATGTGTGGGCAGAGATTTTCTTAAAACTGGAAATTTATCAGTAATTTTAGAGTTGTAAATTTCTGTTTCCACACAAACTTTGTACAGTAGCTATGCTATCACTGTACATTCTCTGGATTTTTTTTTTCTTTTTTACCTATTTGTACACCTAACAAAAAGGTGTGATGGAAACTGGAAATGAAAGTATCAGCTATGAATAGAACCACCTGTCTTTGCTCCTTCTGGTGATATTTTTGCCCTCTTGTTCCAATGCTTTGTTCCCTGAAGATATGAAGTATTTAGCTGCAGTTTGGCAACAGATATCTGAATGAAAGGTCTTGCACATGCCAAATGTGTTTGGGTTTGTTGTAGTAATAATATGACAAATAATCTGTGCAATATCTCTAAAAGTATTTGGACCAGGTGGTTCAACTCAGAACTAGGATTTTCACCTTAATAGATGCACTTCAGAGGCTAAAAGAAGTGAGTAATGGTTCAGTCTATTCAGCTGAAAAATGGCTAATTTCCCATAATGCATGAACTATAAAAGTCAAGTGAGAAAATATTGCTTGGGCAGTATTATTCATGCCGTAGCTTGAGTGTGCTGTTTGGTTTGCATGCCTACAGTGCTGCAGTAAGAGGAGGGAAGAAAATGGGGAGCTGAAAAAGCCCGGAAGGGTTTGGTGGCTGGAAGCTGCAGGAACTGGTGGAGCGCTGTGCCAGTGGGAAGAGTGACTGCAGTTAAAGCTTGTGCTCACTTGAAATGTTAAATTTAAGAGGTATCCTATTACAAGAGGTATTAAAATACAAGCAGGAGTTCTGAGCTTGAGGAAGAAGCCCTGGAAAGGGGTTCCATGGTGTGCCAAATCACTGATCACAGGGTGAAATTCTACTTTTGACATAAATGAGGAAGTGTTTTGCTAGGCTGCTGTTTCATTTAAAAGATACATTTCTTTGAACTTCTGAGAGGATTTTGCCTTCCTGCCACTGAAAGACAGCTTTTGAGATTATGAACTACAGGAAGTATATTTGCTGAGGATCCATGAGCTTCACTGAGCTGTAGTAAGGAAATTAAATTTGCCCAGATCATATCACAGTCATAATAATACTTACAGTGTGCAGTTGGGCTTTATTCATCATCTTTAGATTAGAAGATGTGCATTTAACAATATGAAACTTACCTGTTCTCTTTGGCTAATTGAAGTCTTTAAGACCTTCATCTAAAACATCTGTCTGCTGTAAACTGCTGCTCATATTTAGGAGCTGGATGAAATCTTGAAGC